CATATTATCAATGTGTAACTGATTCACAAGATACAACTCACTCGGTTTCAAGAATACAAGATATTATCATCTCACCAATCGCTCGTGACAAAATTCATGAGGCAATCTAAGTGAGCATGAGTTTAATCCAATGCTCAATATCATATTCATAAGCACTCATGAACGTTGCAGCAAACCTTTGGTATGTCTAATATACTTTAGACAATCTACAAACCAATTCATGACACTCTTCATTCATACCTACTTTCAATGTATGACCGATTGTGGAGGTTCGAATAACCCAGTTATTCTGGAAGTCAAAACATGTAAAGAGAAACACAATGATAATACTTAATCCTATATGACCCCAAACTTGTGAGTATAGATAAAACACTTTTATTTAATCACCATATTGATTACTCATTAGTAATTGTTTAATGTTTCAGATAATCAACTTTATAACTCGAATCATAACCACATTTATCCCATGCTCCAAGCATGCACACTTTGGTTTCCTATGGTCCATACTTTGTGAAATTTATTAATAAAACTCATTTCATAATCCCCAATCCTTACAATTAGCGTAAGAATACCAAATTCTTTCCACCTTTTAGAATGTGTCAAATTCTAATATTTTATGCAATGATCCTTTTGTGAAGTCACGGCACAAAAATCATAAAGACTCGACCAATGAAATCCCAAGGTACTCTATCAGAAATTGTTACAAGACAATTCTATAGATGTGATGTCTCTCACTCAAAGTACATTCCTTTGAACATCCTTTTGTATAAAATTTTCTAATCTAGACATAAATTCTTAATTTCCAACTCCTAATTATGGAAACATTTCCATATTTGCCATATGACAGCTCACTCTAACTAGAATCTTATCTATTCATAATAATGTCAATATGGTCCATCCATTACTATACTTCTAACTACTCACAAGCAACCAATCCTCAGCGAACTTTGGATCATCCTTTGATAGTTGTTTAATTATTTCAGTCAAAACCAGTTCTATTCCCTTTTCCATCTTAATGCCCTTTGCGTTTGGAAAATTTTTAGAACGGTCAAATGTTATAGCATATGCAATTGTTCCTATACCCGAAGCATATGGGACATGATCCATAATGTCTTACATAAAGATATGATACTTTATCAATCTTCTGCCATAATATTTTATGTGTCACATTCTCACTATTCGAACTATGAAGAGGGATGTCATAATCATAATCGAAACTTGAGAACACACTATGTATCCTTTGACTAAATTTATTAAAATTTCTCAATCTAAGCTTTATATTTTGGAACGAAGTACAATATTCTCTCCCTTAATTATAGCAAAACAACTTTTCAACCCTTACGACTTTGCAAAGTATAACTCTTGTTTTCTATAATTAATATTGTTAACTTGCAATACTTACCATAAAAATCATGCTCCCACTAACATGATGATTGTTTCCTTATTGGCATAACACTT